CAAACCACTTGACCAAGCCTCTACAGCTCTTTGATCTTCTGTGAGGCAGGAATTTTACCTTGCTCCAGCCAAAAAATTCTGATTTTGCAAATGTTCTGTATGTTCTCTTCTAATCAACCAATCATTACTACAGTAGCCACTGACCACTTGAAATATGAGTAATTTATTAGAGTTAATTTTCATTTATTTAAAATTTAAATATATATTTATCCTGCTGTAACTTTGCTCTGGAAATCCATAGATTAGAATATTGTCCTTCTTTAAGAATGAATATTCCCATTTTATGTGGGCAAAGATAGGTATAAAACCACCTTAATTTAAACACAATTAATGAGAGAAAATAGAATACATATTATTTTTGTCCACCACTTTTTAGAAAATATTCAATGGAGAAGCTTTGTTTTTTCTCATTGCACTGATGAAAATTCCCCAGGGCGTCCCATGTATCTTTTAGTCACCAATATATATATGCAATCTAGTGTTTACTTTAAGTGACATAAAGCAGTTTCTGCCAGTACACCAATCTCCTTGTATACAGCTAATCCTTCTCTACACCATGTAGGTCTATAGTCTTTGGAAAGTGAGCAGAACAAGCATTTCCTTTTCTATATCACCTCTCCATCATCCAGCTTGCTAGCTACTATTCCTGGTGGTTCCAAAATTTGAGACTATGTGGGGGGAAAGGAAAAACGGAACAGAACATTTTATTCTATTTGTATTATTGCGAGCAGGATTTGACCTGCCTTTCTGGACCTGGCTAATACTGATTGCTGCTGTAGTTGCTGATAATGTAGTGTGTGTGTGTGTGTGTGTGTGTGTGTGTGTGTGTGTGTGTGTGTTGGGGGGTGTGGGTGTGGGTGGGTGTGGGTGTGTAGAATCCTCTTCATGCATTTTGGAATATCCTTAGAAGCTTTTGACTGCAATGCCTATGAAGCTAGTGACGCATTCAATTCCTAAATTAGTTGTGCTGCTCTGAGATCTGGTTAATTCACAGGAAGACACCAACCTTGGGTTTGACCTACGATCATAAAATCTCCAGTCTCTACCTCTCTGCACAGGAAAAGCCTTCCAAACATCTTTTTCAGAAATGAGCTTAGTTTTTATCTCTCCTTTGTGTCATCCTTTGAAGTCATTGAGGAGCTACAAAATTCTGAAAATATTCTCAATTGGGATTTTGCCAGATACTTTGGTATCAGATATTTGAGTAACCAAATCAATTGTCCTGGACTGTTAGAAAAATTTTTCAGTTTTACATCCTGTAGCTATATAAACATGATCATTGAAACTCTGGTAATAATCACTAAGTACTAGAAAATAAAATAATCATGATAAAAAATAGAAGCCCATCACTAAAGTATATTCAGTAAAAGAAAGGAGATAATACACGCTTTCCTTTGCATTTTGAAAAGTGGTATATGTATTTATATGCTTCTAAATTTTTACATCATCTCTGGATGTTTATGTGGATACACATTGAAGCCTGTGTCTACTGCTCAACTTTAGAAAATGTGGCTCTTAAGTCTTTCTATTTGTCACAATGTCACCAACATCTTATTTTGCAGTGCTGACATAGTAAAAACATTTGTGTCTCAATCCACGTCTAAGTGAAAAACACATTCTTTATAACTGACCAACTTATATATATTACCAATCTTTGGAAAATTGAGCATAACACCAAAGACAGGATAGCAAAATTGATATTTTTCAGTAAATAGGTGAGCTGTAACAAACATACATTACTTTTTCAAGAAATGACGGAAAAATAAAGTGGAATACAGGTACAACATGAAAACTGTATCCACACTAAAAGTTTATGAGCTACATGAAAATAAAGAATTAAACTTTTACACTAAAAATTACATTTTTATTCTTTTTTAATTCATTAAGTTTATTGGTACATTTTAGGTATACAATATGATGACACTCATCACTGGGAGTTTGTATCTTTACATGATGTATCTTGGTTCTTATTTTTTCCCCATTCCCCTGCCCTCCCTTTAACCCTTCTCTATTTACAAAGACTTTTTGTTTCCTTTTTTCCTTTTCTCATATTTATTCCTTTCCCTTCTTCCTTTCCCCTATTCCTTTTGATTCTTGATATTAAATAACAAATAATATTTTATAACTTCAATTTCATTAAGGTTATCCAAAAAGAAGATAACCCACTTAGCAGAAACTTCACATTTTGGAGACAATGTCCCATTTTTTAATTAGCAAAGGGTAAAATGTTTCCTTCCAACACCCTAGTCTGGAGATATCAAATTCATGCTATGGTTATCAAAGACATTTTTACTGAATAATTTTTTAATATATAAAACAATATCTTCTTTGACATTAACACAATTTATATTTTTTAGAACATCAAAAAATGTGAAGGGAAACATGTCATGTTTTACTTGACATATACTTTCATGATGCCACAACAGCATAGTATTCTTTTTTAATGTATGAGACAGAGTGTCACTGTGAATTTTAGGCTGGTCTTGAACTACAACAGGTTAGTTTTGAGCAATGCAGCTCGATCATAAAATAAGTCCTGTGACTTCAGACAGCAAGAAAAGAAATTGAGAGCAATTATAGAATTAAAGCTAAGTATTTAATTGCATACCAAAAAAGTCAAAATTGGGAAAAATAAACTAGGTGGAAACAGAACACAGAATATCATAATAAACATTTTAAAAATGTATTTTGTAGGACAAAGCAAGATTTGGAAGAAGAACAGTCCCTAAAGGGCTTGCCTGGTTCTTTTTCTGTTTTAATACTGTTTGTGTCTGATTTGTATATAACCTTGGCTTCCTAAAAATCCCCCCTCCTTTGATTTCCTAAGCTATTATGAAAAACATCTTCCTGCTGTTTATTTGATTATTCTTATCCTGTTTTCTTTGTTGGCTCCTCCCATATTACTTGATTATTTAAACATTCCCCGAGGCTTTCTTGTTTCTTCTTACTTTTAGTGATCTCCATGAGTCGCCCAAAATTACTCATGAATCCAAACAGCAGTTTTTAATGGGAAAAGCTCTGATTTTGTATCTAATCTAGATCTTTTCTTGAGCTGTAGAACTATAACATTCACTGGTAAGATATGTCCACATGAATGCTGTCCGCAACTGCGCCCGTCTTTGAATATACCTTAAACATCTCTCTCTCCCATATCTCTACCAACACAACTCTGCTTTTATTCAGAGTAGTACCTGGAAGCACTCTTAAACTACATCCTCTTCCACTGCCACAGAATCTATCTGTGGCCATGGTATCTACCCGGTTTAATTATTTTTATCTCCGTCTTAAAATCCCATTGTCTTTCCAATGCATTGGTCTCCCATTTTCTTGTCTCTTCCTCCCTTAAGACATTCTATCTCCCTTCGTGCAAGTCTCAAATACAGGAATACAGGAATAAAAAATACAGGAATAAACATGGCACTCTGGTGCTTGCCACTGCCCCTCAATAGAAACTGCTCTGGACAAGGCTCCCAGCAAAATTCAAAGGAATCCCACCTTTCATTCTTAGTGGGGCCCTCTGTGACATCAGACACTGTCAACTTTTCCCTTCTTGAAAATGTACCCTCCTCCTTTGTCTTCACAAAGACATCTGGATTCAATGGATTATCCCCTATTTTTCTGACTCTTCCTCTTCAGTCTCCGTTATGCTTGCTTTTTCTTCGGATTACAGGTTAATATTATATCACAGGGCACCACCCTGAGCTCATACACTTCTTATGCTGTGGTTCTTAATACTCTTGAAAAAGCAACCATATTCACGATGCTAGTGACACCAAAAGATTTCTGACTCCCTGTCTATCTCTAACCCATTTGCACTCCTGACTCTTAAGACCTGCCCAACTGCTTAAGCAACTTCTCTATGTGTATGACAAGCATGTCCAAGTCCACCAGCTTCAACTCACCCTGCTGCTCCTTCCTCCCAACCTGATTCTCCCATTTTCCTTATCCAAAGGAACGAAGATATCGCCATCCACCCAGTCAAACAAATTCTTATGTTGAAAAGTAAGGTCATTTATAATCAATATTACTCCCTTCCCCAATCTACTGTCCCCAACCCATAAATTTTTGCTAAGTTACCATCACTAAAATCTTCTGCAGCTGGGCTGGAGATTTAGCTCAGGGGCACCATGGCTGCCTGGCAAGCACAAGGTCCTGAGTTTGATTCCTGCTATGCGGAAAAAAGTCTTCTGCAGTATTCCATTATTAACTAGTACAGCCTCTCTTTTTCCCACCTAGATTTCTGCAGTAAATCATATGTGGTCCACTGTCTCCCATCTTTTCTATTTTAGAATGATCTTTCTAAAATGCAAGTATTTTTAGAATGATCTTTCTAAAATGTAAGTATTATCAATTAAATCTGTATTAAGAACTCTTTTAAAACTTTCCTTCTGTTATGTAATATGATTGGGAATTTTTTATCATGACCTATAGTTCAAATTTTAGAATTTTTTCGTTAAAGGTGATCAGAAGAGTCCTACAAAGTTTGAACAACATCATGTACCCCAGCACGAGCCATAACATCAAATAATGGGAAAAATTATTGCCATCAATAGAAAATTGGCCAAATTTTAAAATTGGCCAAATGAGTAATCTAAATTATTACTATAGAACAATAAAAATATAATACATGGTTCAATATGTTTGCATAACGTTTCTGGTTGATTATTCATTCTGAATATATGTTTTTTGGCATAAAAAGGTTTATAGGATCTATGACACAAGATGTGAAAGTGCACATCTTGATAAATATGATCATGGCTCTTATTTTTCTATGGTAAACATGGAACTCCTTTAAAATCAGGAAAAAAGAGAAGTAGTATTTTACAAAAGTTAAATTCAATTTCATCTCCCACCTCATTCTCCCTTTCCTCACTGTACTTTCCAAGCCTGCATTAAACATCTCTATCCTCTGCAGACCTCTGCCTCAGTTCTTAACTTGTATTATAAATTCCAGGCAGAATAAATATTTACAGGATAAATCAATGGTTGATGCCACTTACCTCACAGAGATCCACACTCAGTCTCATTTCCTTCAGGGAATAAAGTGCCTCTCCTTTGGCCTATACTTGAAAATCCTTCACAGTTACCCTCTTCATATTTTGGCTCTTATCTCCATGAATATCCATCTACAGGGAGGATGGGTCTTTCTTACTGCTGTATTCCAAAATGGCATAGCTCCTAAAAAATAGATGTTCGGAAATTATTTGTTGATTTGGTGGTTGAGTAAATTAATTAACTTTCAAATATGTCCTGTACTTGACACTTCTCCACATATTCTACAGCTATTCCCTCCAACTTTTGCTTTTAACTTCCCCTCTCAAGTCTCTAAGGTTTAGTCAAGTTTGGTCACTGTAAAAACCATCTACCCCAGGCAAAATTAAGTTCTCTTCGATACAAATATAGCAATTATTTGACTCTTCTCATGATTTGAGTGTGCCCTTCTAATGTCATTTAAAGGGAGGGCAGGGACAAGGGGAAAAAATGAGAAACAAGACCTGTCCTGTAAAGGTACAAGATCCCAACAATGAATGTAATTGTACTGCATACCTAAAACGTACCAATAAACTCAATAAAAGAAAATAAATAAATATCGATCAAATTCTACAAGCTTTTTTTTGTTTTTAAGAACCATAATATTTGAATGTCTATTTTCTTCCTATCTATTCTTTCTTGTGCTAGTTAGAAGACATTTACTAGTTACAAAAGCTACAATCTCATCTGGGCATGGTGATGTCTGTCGTAATTTCAGCACTTAGTATGCTAAGGCAGGAGAATCACAAGCTCAATGGGCTATCCTGGACTACATAAAGAGTTTGAAGCCAGCCAGCCTAAGCTGCCTAGTAAAACCTCGATTCAAACAAACAAACAAAACACACACACACACACACACACACACACACACACAAAATCCATTCTTATTATTGAAAAAACAATTTTTATGAGCCAAATTTCTTCATCTTTGAGAGGTATGATATGGTTATCTGCCCCTCAAAGTTAAATAAATTAGACAATGTGATTAGATAATGTGATTAAAGTGCTTAGGACAGTCCATACAATGTAGCTTGTTACCAGCTATTTTGAATATCATTATTATCATTTAATTATTAATAATAATATTATCTATCAATATAATTAATAGAGAAATGCATGTCTGTTAAATGGAAAAGCTAGTCAATCTCTAGCACCTTAGTTGAGAAACAGAGAAGCTTATTAAAAATAAAAATTTTTGCTATATTTTAGAGTTTGGAATGTTCCAAACAATATATGGGGGTCCCAGATGCCATAAGCACATGGCTTTTCATTATACCTCAAAAAATCATTTGATTACAGCATCTGAGATAAACAAATTTGTCAATAATAAGTCAAAATAGGAACTCTTGTTTTGGCTGAGCATATAATATGGTATAAATATTTTAAAGCAATTTCTCAATATCTCACAAATTTGAATATAAATATGTGTATGGTTTAGCAAATATGTTCCTAGAAATAGTCACTAAAGTAATTCCTAAATTGGTACACAAAGATGAATATAATATCTTATAGTGCTACTTTTAACAAAATGCTATACAGCTAGGAAAATCAATGGATTGTTTTAAAAGAATTACCATAAATTGATCTCAAAATCATAACATTGAGAAATAAGGGCAAATTGCAGATGCCTATTTTATTCTTTATATGAAATATTTAAACATTCTAAATATCGATTTTGTTTATTAACATATCCACAAGACAGTAGAAAGAATGAAAACATTTTTAAAAATTAAAGAATAAAAATATATTCTGTGTCTTATCTATACACAGGTCAGGGGTATTCTCTGAGATCCAAAAGAGAAATAAGACTGAGAAGGATCCTGTATTTTTTACCATTAGTGTTTTAGGTCTTAAGCTGAGTCTTAGATGTACACATCTGTGATAGCCATCTAACTATAAATATCTATATGTATTGCATGTTTTTGAAAATGTAAAATATGTTTGTCCCATTAGAAATAGAAAGCAACTCTACCATATCTGGACATAAAACCTGGGGTGAGTCTCTGGACCACAGGTGAGAACGTTCTCCTGTATTACAAAGAAGGTCCCTGGATAGAAACCTTATACCTCTGGGCAGAGTAGTGACCACAGTAACCAAAAGAGAATCCTCAAGAGATAGTAAAACATTGGGAGGAGAGATCAGCAGGCCTTTCCTTAGCCTTCTAATGCCTGGGAAGCATTTGTCCTGCGCGAGAGCCCTGAGCGGGTCAGAAAGAAGAGCAGTGGCAGGCTTCCTTCTTCTTTGGGGTGTGCTCCCTGTGTCCTCCATGCGTCTGGCCAACCCTGGTGGCAAGTCAGTATTCCTGTCCCAGGGGGTGAATAATGCAGTTACCCTTTCTCTGAAAGGTCTCTTCTTATCCTTGTGCAAAATTCTCAAGGTACAAAGCAATCCCGCCCAACGCCAGAACTATCTCCCCTTCTTTTGCTTCAATGTTACCATCAGTCTCTCACCCTACCAACCTTAAAACCTCAAGACCACCTTGCTTGTCACTATCCTTATTATCTCTCCATCTTCTTTTTACTTAATGATGCCATTCCTCTTTCTTTTTTCCTTTTAGTTCCTATCATGCCTCAGTTATTCATGGTCACATTATTAAAGCATGTTTCCAAAGTGCTGTCCTTGCTTTCACGTTTCCTGTGCTCCAAGGTCCATGCATGCTGTTCATGGTATGCATCTACTAGCAGAGACAAGACTTTTACCATATCAGTCCCTGGAGTAGGACACTTTCAAACCTTCTGCTATCTAGAAGCTAGAGTCCAAATCCTTCTGAAGATTCCACAATTAATCTCATTCTAATATCATCACCCCAAATCCCTGAGAAATCCTTCACAAAATACACAGTGTTCTTCCTTCTAGCTATCTACTACACAATGACAGTTTGTTGAATTTCACTTTCTAATTTTCTTCCTTGACATTCTTCCTATTTCATTATTTCCTAAACTCAGGCATTTAGAGAACTTGTCATGATTTTTTCATTATCACTTACTGTCCAAACTCCTTTTTACTTAATAATTTTCTCTGTAAGTCAACACTCATTTTAGATTAGATAAGTATTTCAAAGATTAATTTCTGTCATCATAAATGAAAATACTTCTTTCTTGAAATAAACAGGCAACGCCTATAAAAATAAATGTCATTTTAAGAGTTCCTAAGTTAAATACTTTAGCCTGCTAGCATCTGTTATTTACTCTTTTGTTATATAGAGGCTTAAACAAGTATTAGAAGAATTTTCAAGTCACAACAACAAAATTTGGCCTTGAAGAGTTGAATGTACATTGAAAAATATAATTATTTGGTTGTCGTTTCAATGTTACTGATTCTTGAGTCTATCTGTTGACTAAAATCACTTCATGTATGCAAAATGTAGAAAATGTTTGTGAGACATTCTCTTCACCCTTTTCTGCTGATCTCCAGTCTGCCCTTCCTTCAGTCCTGGCCAATCCACCCACTCCCCACAGTGTCCTGGAGACATTCAGGCTACTCAGCATGCCCTTCATCTGGCATCCTGGGCCAGCACCTCCTCCTTGTTTGGGGAAATCGTTCCACTGTGCTTTTCAAGTTTATTTTTTCTGTTCTCCTTTGACATTGTTTCAAGGACAGATTTATGGAGGCTTCTCTTAAAGACCCCGATACCGAGTATCACACTTTCTATGGAGTGAGAGTTAAGAGGAGGACTCTATGAACAGCTTGAGTGACCGAAGGATTAGCACTTCTTCCCTCTATGTCTGAACACACATTTCCAGGAGTAGATAAGGATCCCCTCGAGGAGGGCTGTGTCTCAGTCATTCTTTTAACCTCCAGGCCCAGCCCAGTGGGAGAACACTGTACAACTGCTAGCAATCCTGGTCAAACAGACAAATGAGATTTCCTAGAGAAACCACACCATATATGGCATTCAAGCAAAACAAAACTGCCTTGTTAGGAAGTGTACACTAATGTTTGGTGTTACTTCTGCTGCTTCCCCCGCCTTTGTTTTCCATCTGATTCTGCCCTGCACCTGCCGGCATAGCTCCTGAGAAGATCATACTTCCACACAAGGCTCTGCACGCGCATCGCCAACACAGGTCGCTATCACCCTCAGTCATCACAAAATACAGTGCAGAGTGCTTGGTCTTTATAGACAGCTGGACCTACGTGTGGCCACTTGAAAAAGGATTTACTAAACATTTACTAAACTAAAAAGGATAAGCTCATGTCCTCAGCTTTAAAATCAGTATATTTTAAATTGTTTTCTGTCCTCCAATCTCATTAACGCTTTTTAACATTAGATGGCTTTTAACGGGCTATTTTAACAGTCTTCATTATCTCTAAAGCACAGAGAAAAGTAATCCTTTTATAAATTAGTCAGAGATGAGCTGAGAAAACTGGCATAGACAATATATTTGCCTTTAGTTTTAGAAATGAGTTTTAACTAAACCTTTCAAGAAAATTGTAACTAATAATTGTGAGTGCATAATTCCTAGATTCTATGCATTACCAAAAAAGCATTTTTAAAAATCTCTCTTGTGAGTTAAATATAATTATGTAAGTGCATAAAGGAGGACATGAAAGGATCACCACTAAATTCAAGATAACTTTTAAAAAAATATATGAAATGTATCTATCATCATCTAAAAACTATTGTCACATTAAAACAAGGCACTAATATAAGCGATTCACTATCAGTCTGAACTTAGACCCAATGAATATAGACACAGTTGTTTTCTAAGGAAGCAGGGACTTTAATAAATGAGAGGCATTAGAATTTTTGCTACACGTTCTCATATATAACACAGTGTCACCATTATCACCACTTCCACTCCTACGTGTGACGTCCAACAATGTTGGGTAGATTTAATTGTTAGCAACAATCTCTGGAATGTTTTCATCTTGCAAAACTAAAACTCTACACCACCGGCAACCCTAAAAAAACTTCTCCTCTCTGCCTAGCAACCTGCTTTCTGTTTCTGTAAAATTTGGAGTAATACAGATGCTTCATTCAAGTAGAATCATACAGTATTTGACTCACTGATCTGTTTTTGAAGCATGACTGAAACATAATTAAAATGGAGTCAACCATCCATCAGTCACTAACCATCTGTTTAATAAAATGCAGTCTGCTCGTGTAACTCTATTAAATCAGTGAGGCAGCTTTTAATATTTTTACAGATGAGGAAACTGAGGCTGTACAAGGTGAAACATTTTGCTACAGGTTACATATACAGTAATAAGCAGTGGGGCCAACCCCTCTTTATTGACTTCAAAGCTCAATCTTTTCAACGCATCTGCATGTGTTTTGTAATACTTTAAATTTTCAGAAGGGTTCAACCATCTACCTATTTGAAGCAAGTCCAAATGGTCCTTTTCTTTGATTTGACTCTTAATGTTGCAAGTGCTCCTCCTTCTTAAATAAACTACTTTACTCTAAACCATGTTGCCAGGTACTGTTCTAACCACGTCTCACAACCCCACAGAATACCAGTTTCCCTTTTTTCTAAACAGGGCTTGGGAAGGAGGAAGTTCCTTGTTCAGTTTTCCTGGAAACTACACCTTCCCAGGGTGTAGTGCATTTCACCAGGGAAGGGAATATTAGTCTTTGAAAAGCAGCACTTACATGTGTGGAAGGGAGCCCCAGCTTCTTCAGTTCAGGCATTGTTTTAGTGAATGGAAGCCACTCTACTCAAGCCAGGCACTCTCTTCTAATGCGCCTTGCTCTGTCTGGCGAGCACCTGCTTCCGGAGCCACCTGAGATTACCAATGTGACACCAATGCTGCCCAACCAGAAAGCCCGGAAGGCAGGAGAACTACAGTACCCACAATTCAGGCTCCTCACCCGAAACCAAGCGATCAGGGCAATGGCTACAGTTTCACTCTAGGGAGCAAGAGGAAATAGTTGGAAAAGTAATAAGAAAAAAAATCACAAACAGTGCATATGGTTCCATTTCCACAAAAGGAAATTAAAGTGGTTTGATGTTTGCCAACAAATAGGAAGACTCCATTAGTGTTGGCAAGAACAGAAAAATCTTCATGCAATCAAATCCGCTGCCGCCTTGGAACCTGCCCAGCCAGATTCCCTTTTGATGACTCATTCAGAGGTGAGGGTGTCTCAAGCCTTGGAAAGCAGGTGACTGAAGACTGCTGAGGCCTGACAATCTCAGTTCCTCCTAGTTCAGCACTGTGATCATCACTCAGAGATACTAAGGATGTCGTGGGGACCTTTTGACCTTCTTCCAAAATGCTCTCAAATTAAACCCGCACTTTCAAAATTGCTTTTTTAAATATGAATAAGAATGAACCTTTCTTGAAACGTTCTTCTAGTTGCCTTTCCATTTCTAGGTTCCATGTTTTCCTTCTGCAAGTCCCACCATTATTTTCAGTTCTTGGAATTCAAGAAAGAGAAAATCGAGGAGAAAAAAATGTAAATCTTAGAAAATGACAGACACAATACTTTCTTTGCAGTATCAGTCACAGAAAAGAAAACAGAACATTGAAACAGATATGTCTTTTCCTTATTTGTTCATACAGCATCTCTCTTAGCCTTTCATTTCCTGTTAGACCCAACCCAGAAAGTGGAAAGAAATAGCTTGACTTAGTCTGGACTCAAAAACATAATAGGATTCATTGAAAGTAAGTGGATGGCAGAGGAGTATTTTCTCTACTCTCTTTCACTGTGTTCTACGCTTCTCTCTGCCTCCTGAAGATATCCTTCCTAAGGCTTGCTGCCCAAGCCACTGCTTCACCCAGAGCCCCAATGAAGTTTCCCTTGAGTCATTCCACAGCCCCACGTGACCCTGTCAAGTTCCCTTTGTCACAGGTCCCTCAACTCCTAACTGGAACCTGACTTTCCCTAATGCTTCCTTCTCAAAAATGGTTCTTCCCTTCTTCACACCCTTGCAGATTTTGTGCTCTACTGTGTTCCCTACCCCCCAGCATCTTCATTTTTTGGTCTTTATATGTATAGTTCTTGTCTTCCTTTCAAAGAATGAAAAGTCAGTCTTTTCCAAGAAACCCTCCCCAACCCAAATTCATTTTAATTATTCTCTCCTTCCTAATAAATCATATAACATTGTATCTAGTCCTTTCATGTTTTATATCTTGTTTCATTGTTTTATGCAGGTGTGTGTATGCACATGTAGCCTTAGATCTCTATTGGAAGGAAGGGCTTTATTTTAATTCCTTGTCTAATAATTCAGGAATGGAGATATGTATTTTTTTATAATAAATGTGTGAAGTGGCTACAGTATTAACTCTAAATAAGTTTTAATGCTTAATATTATCCCTATCTCAGACAGAAGATTTTCATATTGAAGAGCTATCCAATTACCAGGAAGAAATACTGTTATCACAATCTCCTGTAGTCCAGCTTTGCATCTCTCCCACAAATTTTATTTGCAGAAAGACGAAACACTATGTCTAGCACTTCAGCCACTGACAGTTCCTGAAATGAAGACTCCAATAGATCGTAACTCCACTCTATGCTGTGCACTTGACCTTCTAACAGCTTCCTAAGGGTCAGCCTCTATGAAGTCCTCAGTCATGACTACCTCTTTAAGACTGGGCCTCACTTCCTGGGATTTGTGATCATCAGCTCCAGGGTTTTTGGCTCTTTCCCCTTACAATCTACTATCCTGGCTCCAAAGAGTAAACTCTGTTCTTTAAGTTCTTTAAATAGTTCATTCTCACCTGAGTAAAGTAATTCTCACCAGTTAATAGTTCCTCCCAGACCCACTTCTTCAGGATCCTCCTGGTCCTCACATGTCCTGCTGTGTCCTAGCTGTCATCCATTGTGGAGGAAGTCAGGGAGATCTTGCTGACTCACAGTAATTCTCCAGACATCAGACATTAGAGCTGGCTAGTGAGGATGATGGTTGTCTGGGTGGTCACCAATCCTTTCCTCTAATCATGTTATATGGCAGTTGGCCCCTTCATCTGCCTATTGGAACATATTCTAAACTATCTGGAGTGGAGTCCATAGATCATCCTAAACATATGGCTCAGGGGGACTCTTTTTACCCTTTCACCCATTCCATGCTTCCTTTCCCACTTCTACTGACTTACACAGATGTCTGATACTTTGTACATGCGACTCAAAAATGTTTTCATTTTTCCATGGAAGTAATGATCACTTGCAGCCACTTGATTTATTGTACTTACGGAAAAGAATAGGATAGTTATGTTATTTCCTAACTGACAGATAAGGGGATGTAAAGCCAGCCCATTCAATTTCAGAGTGTGAGAAAAAGAAAGCCAGAGGTTGAAAGCAATGTCAAAGGAGTTTCCATAGAAACCTGCCAAGAGGCACTAGAGAGTGGGTTGTGTCTGTGAACAGTCACATGGCCTGCAGCATGATATGTTTCATCCAGGTGGGAGGGCTAGTTGAAGAGTAGTTAATCTCACATTCTTTAGTGTGGGAATGACTCTGAAGGAGCCAAAAGTGCCAGGGAACCTGCACAGATCAGGGTTTAAAACAGAGAAGCTACACTGTGTTTTTATGACTTAAGAAAAATAGTTAGAATCATCTACCAATGGATATTATGCTGTATAGTGCTTCAAAAGGGCTCCTAGTTCAGGAAGTGAACGTGGCTCCTTAGTAGGTGATAGATAGAATACAGAAAGCACCATATAGGCTTCAGGGCTTTCTTTTCCCATACCATCCTCCCTTGATCTGATACCACCTGAAGGAGAAATAGAGCAGGAGGAGGAGGAGGAGGAGGAGGAGGAGGAGGAAAATCTCAGAGGCAGAGAATGAAAAAGGAGTCACTCAAAAGAACATCAAAGCCCAAAGAGACTAAGGTACACAACTGTAATTTTAAAATAAAATCTACTTCTGCATGCCATCTTCACATGCCATGCAAAGGGGTTTCTAGGGTGAAGACAAACAGTGGAGCTACCTATTCACATTGTTTTGGCTGCTTCTGTGGCTTCTTAAATTGTGTGCCTGATTCTCCTCTCCCCAGCAATTCTGGGACTAGAGTTTCATGCGTTGCTTTTCAATTTCAATCAGCCACAGTGATTTATTTGCTTGAGGTTAAAAATTTGGATGCAAATATCTAACACAGCTCTTATCACACTGCCACATGTGTCACCTCTTGCATCATATTAAGATCCCACCAGCACAAAGACAAGATCTTGTTCAGTAAATAACTGAAAACTTCACAGCATTGGATTTAGTACTTACTTGTTGGTCTAAAATGAACTTATCAGTAAAATGAGGAAGCCTTACTTGAAGTTCTTTCTAATTTAAAATTTATCTGACCACATGAAAGCTGTCAAGTTGCTCATTAATGTGTATGTAATTTCTTTTCACCTAATGTTATGGAGTGGTTTAGAATTCATACCTCCCCCCTTTCTGTATCTAGGAAAGGGAAGAGCTAGTGATTTCCTACACCCAAGGGAAAAATCAAACACACACACACACACAATGTTGGAATATGCTCAAGATGTTTCTTACTGTTACTTAGCAATCAAAAGTTATTTATGTATGTGTGTGTGTCTGTGTGTATGTGGGTGTCCCTCGATGACCTATGTTAAATGTCACTCATGTTTGGTTGTGCAGTGCAAATATACCAGAGTGAAAAAAAAAACAGTGCATTCCCCATATGCTCAGATTTTCCTCAGTAGGTCATCTTGGAAAGAGAAAGGCCACATTTGCAAGCTGAGAAGAAATTTCCCCTTGGAGTTTTTCTTAATCCTGTTTCACTATTATGGGCTCTCAGACCCTGGTAGTCTGTGACTTCTATTTCTGGGTCACCTTGTTCCTGAGTCATGATCACACTGCAACTTTCCAAAACACAGTTAATAGCAGTGAACCTACCAGTTAATTTCAGTGAATAGCTCAAATCATCGTAAAATGTTAGGACCAGAGTTAATTTAGGTCAGATTGATCTTTTTTGCCTACATTAAGAGAGTCAAGCTGTTCATGCAATTTCATATTTTCCTTCATTACATCTTTCAGATCTTTGCTCAACTGTAAGATGAATCATCCATAAATTGACCCCTACCAAGCAGCAGTTTAGAAGTTCATCCCTGTTTTCTTTCATCTGTTGTTTTCATGATAATACTCAAGGAAATATGGGCCAACTCTTCACATGATCCTATTTCAGTGCTGCCCTTCTGTGTCTAATCAACAACAGGGACTGCTCCTGTTCTCTGCCTCATTCCCTGGAATGAGTTTGTATTGTTTGGTTCATATTTTTAAACTAAAGCATTCTCTATTTGTTGAGTCTTCTGTATTTATTTAAGTATAATTGCCACTTTCAGGCAAGGTCACTCTTTGGAGAAAGTCTTTAGGTGTCTTTACATCAACTTCCTTGGAGCTTGGATGAGTTTCCTGGGAATTTCCAAAGTGTATTTTTCTTAGTTAATACCTACGGAGATATAAAATTTTGTGATTTTACACTTTCTATTAACAAATGTGTGTGTGTAATGTGTGTGTGTACAACATATTAACTACCTTACCCACTCTGGGGAGGAAAAGAGTTTACTCTAAGTCTCTGGCATACCACATTTTGAGAATGGAATATAAACATCCAACTGTTTTCTATAAACTTCACAAATCTAAAAGCCAAGATAAAGGGATGGCAAATGTTCCTAATTTATCTGCAGCATAGTTTAGATAGTATCTACCATGGTGTGGATTCTAAGTGTCCCCCAAAGGTCCATATAGTAAGTAAATGCTTAGTCTCCAGCATGGTGCTTCAGTTGTGATCTTTAAGAAGTTCAGCCTACAGGGAAGTCTCCTA